GAGAGAGAGAGAGAGAGAGAGAGAGAGAGAGAGAGAGAGAGAGTATACCTTTCCTCAGGTTGGCAATGGTAGACTGTTTCCGGAGGAACTCGAGACACAAATCTTTGTTAAGTCCAAACGACCGCATGTTACAGGCAAACGTTCTGAGTGGGGAAAAAAGAATCATAGCGTCAAAAACTTGTAGATTAATAGTGTTTAGTTTTAGTAGTTGGCTTAGCAAGCCGACGCGGATAATTACTGCTACGAAACAATCAAAGGAGAAAACACGGACAGATTCAAACGGAAAATGACAAGGAAAAGTAAACGGACAGCGAGCTAGAACAACGATTAAAATAGGCACATGGAATGTCTGCGGACTTGGAGACAAGGAACCAGAAATAGTGAAAGAGAAAACCTCGACCCTTAACGGCAACAGAGGATGAAAAAGTAAGTAAGTTTTAGTAGAGGTTTTACAGCGCTCGAAACAGCATAAGGTCATATGAGCACCAGAAGGTTAGTGGTGTTACAAGAGAGTCATCATCATCCGGTGCCTTGCCGACTGGCGTGGGCGATCATGGACCTCCACAAGAGAGTAACAAATATAAAAAAAATAAGAAGGGGAGATAAGGACGATAGACGTTTGACAGGAAAGATGGAGCAAACCTCACCAGAGCACCCGCCAACCACCCACGATTAATAGTGTACGGCACGAAAATGGTCCCATGACAAATATCAGACATCAGATGTTAATACGTTAGGAAAATGTTGTCACTGTAAAGAATTGCCACGTTAAGGCCCCACCAACTACTACACACACGTATCAGTGCCAGGACACGATGGAATCAGTCGCTCGTCAGTTTTGGGGCATTTATTTATGAAGTTATGGGTATCATTATAAAGCTTGTCTATTTGTCTTGTTAAAAAAATCCCATCTATCTGAATAGAAATAGAGATATTTGCGACTGAAGGAGGTGGGGTTGCTTGGTGCCAGATGTACAATTAAAGAGAAAATGTTCGCTAAAGTTTAGCGACTTCCAAATGTTACTATCTTTGGGAACATCAAATACATTTTTGTGTGCCTTTGTTCGTCGTTTTTCCGTAAAATCCACACAAAAATATGTTCATAAATGGATATCAAATGTGTTGAGCCAAATTAAAGAAATTCGATAATGATTGCCAATTGGGCGGGAAAATGTTGGTGTGTTCAATTTCATTATTTTTACGAGCGCCTGATTTCACAACGATAGCACATTTGAATTACAATAACATTACTACTCGTAGGTCTGAGAACATGAAAGACATACATATGTACAATGTATAATAACACTATCATGCTGAAAAAAAAGCTTTTAGAAGAGATCTAGATCTATAGCATTTCTATTTTTCACCTGCGTTGTCACACGCAGAACACCGGAGTTGGATTCCAACGTTAGGAGAATATTCACAGGGTATCTCCGCCTGTCGTCTGCTGGGACATTGCCTCTCTCTCAACCCAGGCACAGGATAGGGGCTGCTCGCCTCCTTAATGCCCCCCCCCCAAAAAAAAAAAAAAAAAAAAGAAAGAAAAGACAATGCCCCTCCCCCCCAAACAGAAAAAATCCCCCAAACAAAAAAACAAAACAAAAACTCAACCCAAAACATACAAAATCAAAACAAGAGAAAACAAACGAAAGACATTGCAGAAAGCACCGCGATGGCACTTTTGAATTACTATAACATTACTACTCGTAGGTCTGAGAACATGAAAGACATACATATGTACAACGTATAATAACACTATCATGTTGATAAAAAATATTTCTTTAAAAGAGATCTATAACAATTAAGCTTATTAGCAAGTGTTCTTGTACAAACCCAAGCTGTCCAAAAGTGATATTTTCCTGGAACTGTCTGTCGTCTGTGACTGTTTCTCTGCCGTCCGAACTAAGGAAAGAAGACGAAAATAAGGGGCGGTATTATCATCATCATCATCAATGTATAAAGCAGATATTAAAACGGTTAAGACCTGGTAGTATTTCCAAACATTTTATCACATCATCATCATCATCATCATCATCATCATCATCATCATCATCATCATCATCATCATCATCATCATCATCATCATCATCATCATCATCATCAGTA